CATTCGGAGTACTAGATACTTGAAACTTGGGCGAGTTTCTTTCAGTGACCAGAAGATGTCAGGCTTGTTACACAATATCTGTTTGCTCTAGCAGTCGGTAAGGGAAGTGCTAGATGATTTTAGATTTAAACCAAAAAGTATGGAAAGGCGTTTGTAAATGTTCAAGTTTTATTCTTTTGAGGCCAAAATTGTCTAGTATAGCTAATAATACAGCTCTCATTTATAGCTTTGAGGTTTTGTTGCTATTAGTTGTTAATGAAATATATATTTATAAGGGAATATTCATAATCTTCTATTCTTCACTGTTACTCCCCTTTAGGCTGTTGTTGATTTGCTGAGTGATATTATGGTGAATATTTCATCCATATGTTGTTCTTAATAATTTTCTGAACTTATACAATGCATTTTTTGGGCATCTAGCTGAAATAATAGTTGCAATAATAGTTTATGAAATGTGACAAACTAATATCAAGAAATGATAATAATTATAGAAATTAATTCTGTTCAGCTTTGTTGAGATCATTATGCTTTAATTGTATGTGTGTGTGTGTGTTTGTAAGAGAGAGCGTTGCATTAAATGACTCGTCAGGCCTTTTTATGAGGCAATTAGTGAGATCCAGTGGAAAAACCATTATACCAGCTTTCCTAGTCCCGCCCAAAACCCAATGTGTGTTTGTCTGTATGTGCTGGTGTGCATAATTTGTGCATTTGTGTGTGTGAATGGTTATGTTTTTGTTTACCTTTCATGTGTGTGCTCGTCCTTGAGCTTGCGTGTGTTCGTGTGTACATACGGCAGTGTTTGGAGCGTTGTATCCAGCTGAGCTCTGAGAAGTGTAATTACAGCCTCGTTTAGAGTTCTCTCCATCCCCTCCTTCCAGCCTGTCTTCCCCTCCCCCCCTTCCCTCCATCCGGAGACCTGCTGCTCTCCAACGCATTAAAACACTCCCCTGCTTTTTAATTAGCCGTCTGGAAAACAAACCCCGCATTCCTGCATCGCCGTTCCATGCCAGGCTCCTCTGACTTATGCACAGACTCACACTAACAGGGACACACACATATTGCTGTCTGATGGTTTTTGTGTTTTATTCCACCACAGGGTGGCACATTTGCTCTTCTGGTGGTTTCAGAGCCCTCTAAAAAGTTTCCAACTACTCCAAAATGTTCTTACAGGCATGCAGTTCTGTATAATTTAGATCCACCTGATCCCAAATCAGTGTGTATGAAAGCAGTAAATAGCCCAGTGAGGTTTGATAGGCAGAGGATTTAATGATATGGCTGTGAATAAAAGGCATGTTTATAGGAGAAAGTTCTTTAATGTCCTCATAGAGGGCCCAGTATTATTAGCCCTACATAAAGATTTCATAGGGATTTAATACTGGTCATGGCCCATTAAAATGCAATATTACTGCTACTGCTTGGGACAAGTGGTGCTTTCAACTCAAGTTCCTGTTGCCGTAAGGATGGTTGTTGTTTGTACTGAATTATGACAGCCGTTATTGTAATTTATGATTTTGCTAAATGTGAAAATTAACTCTGGGGTGTTCAGTTTAAGAGGTACTGAATGTTAAGTAAGTGTGTGTGTGTGTGTGTTTCTTCCTGCTTGTGTATGTCCTTGCTACTTTTCCTGTGGAAAGACCTTGTGTGCGTCCATTTTCTAGGTGAAAGGAAATCATAAAATTGGAAAACATTAACTCTGCCCTCCCTTTTCTGTTCTGCACCTGGCACACGTAATTATACTTCACCCCTACACACATAATACTAGAATTAATTTGCTAAGATTTAAGGTATAATTCACCCTAGAGAAATGAAAATTCTGTCGTCATTTTCTCACCCTCATGTTCTTTAAGATCTGTATGACTGACTTTCTTCTGTGGCACACAAAAGAAGATATTAATAGTAAAGAACTGTTATTTTTCACATAATGCAGTGAAAGGGAACCAAGGCTGCAAGTAAGATTTTGATGTATTTTCCCTAAACAAATCTATCACATGACTTTAAAAGGCTTGGAACATTGCAAAAAAGTCATATGGGCTACTTTTGTCATATACATATATATATGTGACCCTGGACCACAAAACCAGTCTTAAATCGCTTGGGTATATTTGTAGCAATAGCCAAAAATACATTTTTGTACAAAATTATAGATTTTTCTTTTATGCCAAAAATCATAGGATATTAAGTAAAGATCATGTTCCATGAAGATATTTAGTAAATTTCCTACCGTAAATATATCAAAACGTAATTTTTGATTAGTAATATGTATTGCTAAGGACTTCATTTGGACAACTTTAAAGGCGATTTTCTCAATATTTAGATTTTTTTGCACCCTCAGATTCCAGATTTTCAAATAGTTGTATCCCGACCAAATATTGTCATATCCTAACAAACCATACATCAATGGAAAGCTTATTTATTCAGCTTTTTAGCTGAAAAATTGACACTTAAGACTGGTTTTATGGTCCAGGGTCACATATATATATATATAATAATGCTTTATATATATTATTCAGATCTTGACAACCCTGGGATCCTCATCCACTTTAACTGTAATGAAAAAGAGACGTATAAACATTTTCTTTTTATGTATGAACATATTCTTTTTATATTTTCTTTTCATTCTCTTTTTATGTTCCACGAAAGAATGAAATTCATACTAGTTTGAAACTACATGGAGGTGAGTAAGATGTTATTGTAGCTCTCTAAACTATGGAAGCCCACGTTTGTCACGGAATACAAAAAATAAAAAGGTAATTGCGACTTTTTTCCCGCAATTCTGAGGTTATCTCACAATTCAGACTTTGTTTCCTGGAATTCTGAATCAGAATGTCAGCATAAAATATAAAGTAATATAAACACAAAATTCAGAATGTTTTTTCTTGCAATTTCCAGTTTACATCTCACAATTCTGACTTTTGAAGAAGTCGGAATTGTGAGATAAAAAGTCGCGATTTCTTTTTTTCCTTTTTTTCCCTTTCTTTATTCCATGTTGGAAACAGGCGTCCATACTAAACTCTTAATTTTCAACAAACCAAATATAAAATTGTGATGTTTTGCGAGGATCTCATTGATTGTAGATAACTCCCTAAAAGTGAATTTGTGACTGTGTGTATCTTAAATAAAAATTATGGCAAAATAAATACATAAATGCTGGTGTGCAGGTAAAAAAAAAAAAACAAGCTTAAACTTGTGTAAAATCTAAGCTTGAAACTACTTTAACACCAGTAATTTAACTTTTGATAGTCTACAGATAACTATTTCCTGTTGTATTTTATTTTAACAATTTAGTTGAATTAGTTTTCATTTGTTTTTCATTTCACAGTTGCTTTAAAACGTCAAGTATTTTTAAGCTTGAAAGTGCACACCAGCAAGTAAAATGCTTTGGAAACGCTAATAAACCACTGATGAAGACCACCACAGTGGACCACCTGAGATACACATATGTGTTTGTGTGAGGGTGTGTGTCCTCTTTATGAGGTGATCCGTGCAGTGCAGTCACCAGAAAGTGCTCTGATGAGATTAAGGCAGCAGACACAGGTAGCACTCTAGACTGGTTTCCTTAAAAGACATCAAGGAAACGTTGCTACTCTGTGCTATTTTTAAAATTCATTTGTGTTTTGGGATTCAAGTCATGCTATTACAGATTGTGTGAAATGTGACAGTGCTAAAGATTTTTATTTGCATGCAAGATCTGGCAAGTTCTACAAAGCATTAAAGGCAGAGTAAGTGATTTTTCAAAAACACTTTAGAAAACTGATTCGGGCCGAATCGCAAAACAAACTTGTAGCCAATCAGCAATAAGGGGCGTGTCTACTCGTGATGTGGAGGAGAGCGCGTTCAGTGCATGGGACGGACTTTAGCTGAGCTGAGCGACAGAGAGCTAGAGATGGCGAATAAAAAACAAAAGAGGAAAACGTCTGCGGAATGATAAGGCAAGAAGTAGGACCCGTGTAAATATCGGATCAGCTTTCCAGCGCTGGAGAGAACTCAAGGAGCGAAGGCCTGCGATCTACAAGTTTGTTTTGCGATTCGGGCCGAATCAGTTTTCTAAAGTGTTTTTGAAAAATCACTTACTCTGCCTTTAAGTGAGCTTGTAGACGTTTCTCCATGTTAAAGGAGAATAATGGTTAAGCGAACATGGTGGAATGCTTTTAATGGCTTGGAGTAATACCTCATTTTAGACATATGGGACCTATTATATACACTGCCTGTTATACACAAATATAACTGCACACACGCATACAATGCAACCCATTTGAATGCAGAAAATCCTGGTTTTCTTTTTCTACTTTCTCCACATAGTCATTGATAACTCTGTAAAATAATAATCTCTCTCTCTCTCACACACACACACACATACACACACACACACACCCACTCAGCAGTGTGCCTTTTGTCTCTTTGTGAGGTCTTCTGTGCACCATATATGTTTTAATGAGCTCTAAGCAGCAATTAACATCCTACAATTCACACACACACACACACACACACACACAGTCTCTCTCTCGCTCTCGAACACGTACAGTGTGGTAAACAATGTCTTTAACTAACATATTTTAAGTATGTACATATGTGTACAAATAAGACACATACTGATCAATGTGATCATAAGGGACTCTTTGCCGCATGAGGGCAGTCTCAGGCCAAGATTCAGACTATAACCGGGGACACACACACACACACACACACACAGTTGGCAGAGGAAAGTTTGAAGCATTGCCTGGTGGCCTCAGGCAATGGAAGCTGCCTGCTGTCACAAGTAGAATGGAAAAAGTGTGGTGGTGTGGTGGTTGGGTTGGTCCTGCAGGGCATAAGGGTACTTGTCTGACAAACTTACAGTAAGCACAAAATAATGTTTCGAGCTGCTGCTTTGTCTGTGACCACCCATGTAATACAGTATACACAGCCTTTGCTTTGACCTATGTGTGTACATCTTTACTGTCTGCTTTTTCCTGTGTGTTTTGCAGTCTAATGTGTTTGTGTTTTCTCTATTCCTCTCTCAGACACAGATCCCAGAGTTTTGGAGAGGCAGGAGCTGCAGCAGCCCACATATGTTGCTCTGAGCTACATTAATAGGTATGTCTATACTAAGTCTATATTAATTTGCTTAATAAAAAATATGAATAAATACAGTACCATTCAAAAGTTTTGGGTCAGTCATTTTATTCAGCAAGGATGAATAGAATTGTGACAGTGAAGACATTTATAATGTTACAAAAATAAATGCTGTTCTTTTGAACTTTCTATTCATCAAATAATCCTGAAAAAATGTAGAGTTATATTACAAAATATTAAGCAGCACAACTGTTTTCAATATTATTAATGATAAGAAATGTTCCTTAAGCATCATTCAGGATCATGTGACACTAAAGACTGGAGTAATGGCTGCTTCACACCATCACAGGAATACATTCCGTTTTAAAATCTATAAAAATTGATTTTTAAAATTGTAATAATATGTTAAAATAATACTGTGTTACTGTATTTCATTTATTTATTAGAAATGCAGCCTTGGTGAGCATAAGAGACTTTCAAAAACCATAAAAATATCTTACCAACCCTAAACTTTTGAATTGTAGTATATACTGTATTTCTATACATTATATATACACATACAAACACTTTTATATATACAATGTATTATAACCTTAAGCACATACATGCATACATATATGCAAGAAATTTTAAACTAAAATGCAATGGGAAATTTCTGTAACAATATATATAACATCAAGAAACCTGTGCCACGGAAATTACACACTTGGGAGGTCAGTACAGAAGGATGACAATTGTATTTGACACATATTTTAGTTACCCAATTCCAATTGTTGCCTTTTCCGTTTTGTGTAATCACTGTCATTCCAAGAACAATAGTCCTCAGGTGCATCATTACCTGCACATCAATCTATTAACATGACCTTTTGTTTGGCGTTTGTTTTTTTTCTTTAGGTTCATGACTGAAGCAGCACGCAGAGAGCAAGAAACTCAGAAGAAGAAGGTCCAACCCAAAATTGCAATATCAGTCACTGGAGGTGTATCGCGTAACAGTACGGCCACGCCTCCTCGGCATAGCAACGGCAGCCTAACTCCACCCGTCACCCCTCCCATCACGCCCTCATCCTCTTTCCGCAGCAGCACACCCACAGGTGAATGGAGTTTGTGTGTGATATTACACAAGTTAGATTTATATATGAATAACAATCATTTGAAATATTTCTAACTCATTAGGAGTGTTTGTAATACTCATGGAAAATTTAACGGCTGCTGATTTCTCATGTCTTAATTTGTTATAATTAAGTCTGAAATGTTCTGATTTATTAACCTCTAAATTATGGTTTGTTGCATTTGCTGTCAGAGAGTTAGTTCCTCCCTAAACCTAAAGCTGCACTAATTGAATGTGTGTGTGTACTGAAAAGTTTCCATTGGTTTAAATCCAAGCTTGGGTGACGTCCACACTTCCTGCCGCTCCATTTCCTGTTTGTTTTATACTGTTCTTGTCTTTTAATGAGCATTTAAATAAGCCTGTCATTATATCAGTGTATACTCTGTGTTGAGAATTATGCCAAGAGTTAGAAACATAAATAGCAAACTGCCTTGAATTCAACTGAATCTGTGCTGCATAAACAACTGTTGGTTTAGAAATATTAAAGGATTAGTTCACTTCCAATAACTAAATTATCAGGACATTTTTATTCTGGAAGTGAACTAATCCTTTAAACCTGTGACCAAAAAAAAAACACTAATGAAGAAACCCAGGATAATTGGAGCAAAGGGCACATTTGGGCGCTTTCTCAGTTCTCATTAGTTCTTTCATCAGCCAATATATGAAGCAAATAAATGACTAATTAAAGAGTTTAACTTTTTCACACTCAGGCAGTGAGTGTGATGAGGAGGAGGTGGAGTATGAAGACTCTGACAGTGACGAGTCCTGGACTACAGAAAGTGCCATCAGCTCAGAGTCCATCCTTAGCTCCATGTGCATGAATGGAGGCGATGAGAAACCCTTCGCATGCCCTGTTCCAGGATGCAAGAAAAGATACAAGGTACTGCACTCATAACTCAAATAATTTATTTATTTATATATTTGAAATATAAGTATTATTGTGGTATCAGATATTTAAAAAATCATATTTATAATTTGGTTTACAATACATATATAATACATATATAATTTGGCTTTATAATACAAATTAAGATAACATATTACTGTAGTATGATTTACAAATAAAACAAAACAAACTGTGGTTGGTCACATTATATGTAATTTAGGTGGTCTCTTCCTGTCAAAGTATGGAAAACCTGCAGTGGATTACATTAAATGTGTTTTTATTCATGAAAATTTCTTTAGACTTTCCCTCATCCCTGCTTTTCCTTCTAACTTCTGTTTCAGAATGTGAATGGTATTAAGTACCATGCTAAAAATGGGCACAGGACGCAGATCCGTGTGAGAAAGCCCTTCAAGTGTCGCTGTGGGAAAAGCTATAAAACCTCTCAAGGCCTTAGACATCACACCATCAACTTCCACCCACCGCTGTGATACACACACCATCCTTTCATTTACATTTCTGGATCATATGTAAACTGGGATTCAAATGCTGGTTTCATTTTTTTACTACTTTTTTTCTCTTTATTTGTGTGATTTTATATATACTGTACATGTAGATATACTTGTACATTTGCACATTCCATGTATATAATTTCTTTACTGCTTTTTAAGATATACTTTATTTTTCATTTTTCTTTTCTTTTTTATTTAAGTGACAGTCACTGATAAATGAAAATTACTGTGCTGAAGATTAGGACACGGCATAAACATTTGTTTCTGATTTTAAAGTCTGTTCAGAGAAAATGGTTTAAAATCAGAAAAGAAGAGTTAAGAAATTCTAGGCAATTTCTTTTTGTTCATCAAACCTACTTAAAGTGAAAACTACAGTAGGTACGTTGAAACATGTACATATGAAATTATATAAAGACATTTATATATATATATATATTAGTAGCTAAGTTGTATTATTCAAACATTTTATTTTCCATGATATATTTTGCAGAACATTTATATTATGTTTTATACAAGAACTTTATCGCACCTTTATGGACTCTTTTTTTTCTGAATTACATTTCATATTTTTATTTGCTTTGTAGAGAAGCAGTCTTTTACTGTCTGAATTGGAAGGACATTGATCTCAGGTCACAATACAGCTGCCAACTTTCAGACAAACAAATCAGGAAACAGGAAAAACTCACTTCCACTCACTTCATTCCAGAACATTCCACACTGAATATCAAAACGGCTGACATTACCGAGTGTAAAGTTACCCTTCCAGATTTATTTTGCATGCGGCTGGCATGCAGGCAGCGTCACCGGTGTGAAATTGAATTCTCTGCATGTGGCCTTCTCCAGATGACTGCAAGCGGTTACATGACGTAGACGTGGTTTCTGTCTAGTTGCATTTGAGTTCTGAGCAATATTTTACATAATGATCCCAGAATGAAAACACACTATTGTTGAAGCCAACAATAATCACATTTGAAATGCGTCAGCTTAAAGAAAGACGAAGAAGAGCAGATTTATTCTGCCCTATTACCCTGCTGTTATGCCAGCAGTGCAGAAGTGCCAAGTTATTCTTCCCCAACTGAAAAAGAAACATGGATGATCTGCCAAACACACAACGGGTCACATCTGGCTATCCGTTTGGTGCCTGTTAGTGGAGGAGCCTTAAAGAGGACCTAAACTTCTCTTTGTGTACTCAGCCTTGCAGTATTTTTTGTCCGTTTTAGCTCGTACGATCTTTATTACGGTCGTTGCTGTTGTTTATTTTTTTATTTTTGACACATTTGGGACTGTTCTTGTGGTTGTGTTTGTGTATACGTATTTGTTAGCCCTCTGCTTGCCTTGCATTGTAGGCTACGGCTTTCTAGCATGACACGACCGCTTAGCTGCTCTGCTGTCTCTTGGCTTGTAGTCTTACTATTACAATCTTTGTTGTCAAAAGTATTATACCATTACTTTATATTGTTACTGCTAGTATTACAGTTCGATAGTGCCAGATGCATAGCTACGCCTGAATATATTTTCTCAACTTTGATTCTTGAACGATTTTGCATTGGTCCTGTTGTTGGCCAAAAATAAAAGCATACCACAGTTTACAAAAGTAAATTGCCTTTAGCAACTGCTAAGAGCTTAAACTTTTGGTGCAAAGAAGCTTTCCTATCCACTAGTGTGTTTTTCTTGGTTAGGGTTGGTCAAATTAAACAACACGGACCAAAATCGGCACTGCCATATCTCCAGATATGAAGCTTGGAAAAACAAGGTGCTGTTCAATGATGGTATCAGATCTCCATGGTTCTTTGAAATGTATACCATTGTATTTTTATGGTATTTTATGGTACATGTCCAAAACCATGGTAATACATGATACTTTTTTTTGTTAGTGGTGCTAAGATGGGACAGAGAAATTAAATATGGACAAAATGTTCCATATATTTCCATATTTGGACCAGGATCTGTATTTAAACACTAATATCTTGGACTGTTGCCATGATTTTTTTGGAAAAAAAAGGCTTAAAGTTGACAATGGATAGTTACTATAATTTAGATGCCAAAAACTGGAGCTAGGGAATGAAGGAAGTATTGGATGCCTATGGTTGAGTGACTCATTGTAGATGACTCACTGTCCTGTTATTTTCCAATTCATCCGGTGTCATGTTTGTATGTATGTGTGTATTTTTGGACGATGTACCAGTAACCACATTTGTACCTCTCTTTGGCCTCAGCTTTGACATGCAAACTAGAACCTGTTAAACATGATTTTATTGGATAGGATCCGAGTGACTCCTTACACCTAGTAATGTGACTGAGATGCATTTATTTTGGAGGGAGTTTGATATACTATATTAGTGAATGTATCGTATTGCAAGTCTTTTGTAAAGTGCTTTTGAAATTATATTTTCGTACTGTATGTTTTTGTGGAAAATGTTTTGTGGAACAGAGGCAATTTGTATGTGAGACGACATATAATGTGTGTGTGTTTGTGTGAGCGAACGAGAGACTCTTTTGAGACGTCTTTATCCTCAAGCTGCAATGTAAACTTTAGGACAATGGTACAAAAATAAAGAAAAGCAAACAAGTGTGCTGCCTGTTTCTGTGTTTTATTGTTCATAGAGTGTTGATGTAATGATTGTTCTGTTGTGTAATGATTTGCTGATACAAGGACAAATGTTCAGTTTAATGAACTTGAGCTGTAGCATTCTTTATTAATAAACACACACTTGATACACACAACCACAGAGCAACCCCAAGTTAAACTTCCTGGCACACTTACACAGTGGGAAGCATCAGCTGTGTTGGATAAATGGATTTCAAGCAGGAATGTGTGATGGATATAATGCTGAAACTAAATGTTTTAAGTTGTTCGATGCAAGATGTTTGAACCAATGATGCACTGAAAAGTTGCACAGCCATTGATTTAGCACACTGGCTCTGGATTGAGTTACTTGGTCATTTTAGCTGAGCTTCAAGAAATAGTTCACTTAAAAACAAATGTTTTGTCATCATCACACAGAATAACATTTTTTTTAATAATTGGATTATTTAAAGGAGCTACTAGTAGAATAAATGGAGACTGGAGCTTTCAAGCTTCATAAATGAATTGGTTGAGCCACTAAACAATTCATTCACAAATTAAACTGATTCAGTATGGAATCTTGTTTCCGCCACGGGATAAAAAAAAAAATCAATTGTAACTTATTTTCTCACAATTATTTTTCTTCTCAGAATCGTGAGTTCAAAACTGTGGCAGAAGCAGGCTTCCATAATTCAGTTCATTGGCTCAACTTAAAAAGATTTTATGATATTTTTTTATGGAGCTTTTACATCTTTTCTGAAACTTAAAAAGCTCCAGTCCACATTTATTGTAATTGCATTTGAAGCACAACCAGCAATTAGTTTCACAGAAGAATGTTATATGGTTTTAGAACAAAATGAGGGTGATAAAACGGTGACAGAACTTCCATTTTTAGGTGAACTATCCCTTTAAATTAGTCTTTTAGTGACTGTTTTTTACACATAAAGCATTCAATGTCTCTGAGGTAACGATTTTAGAGTAATTTTAGTGATTTGGCTTTATTAATTTTGGCCATCTCCTTTTGGCTAAATAAACATACATCATTGCATCATTGGTCCTTTAAAATGAAGTCTACATTTTCATAAACAACAACCTAGAGCTACCTGCTCTCATTTTAAAGCGCAATCAGTTTTACAGTAGTGCACAACATTTTAAACTAAAAAGTGCTTTTTATTAGATTTTTTTTACATATCTATTACACCCGAAGACCATTATTATAGTATTATGTCCCTTAGAAGCTTAAATATTTGAATTAATGCTTGTCTATGTGCAAATAAAATATTCCGATAGTCCTCCTGGCATGAGTTGTGCAGCGGTTACGACAAAGTGACAACATCAGCGCGTTTTGAAAAAAAAAAAACCACTGAAGCCCCTGAATCACCTGAGGCGTTTTATATTGAACCAGAATCAAATAAATATTTTCCTCTCTAATCAAAGTTGTCAAAGTTCAGAACATTTTCATCAAAGTGTGTGTGCACATGCTTTTCGTAGAGATGCTGCTGGCAGTCCAGAGGAAACTGCTCGCTGCAGACAGGACATACCCTCCAGTGAGACTCCACGTGGCGTTCAAAACTGCTTTGCTCAAAGTGCGGCGGGAAGATCACCTCACACAGGGGACACCGCTTATGAACATCAGGTCTGAGCGGGGAAGAAAGAGAGACGGTTTTATTCTACAACTATGGTGGCAAGTGGGATGTGTTTGGAATGAATGATTGCTTATTGCTTACTGCGTACTACAACATAATATGCAGGACTGCTTACTGCCTACTACAAGTTTACAGTGGAAACTATGAGAGAGTAAACATTTTAAACAGCAGTATGCTATGTGTTAATCTCACTATTGTTTAGTCAGCAAGTGGTTGTCAGTTATCTCAGAAAAAAAAAGTCCTAACTTTTAGCAGTCAGATCCAACAAGACAATAAAATAAAGCAAAATAAAATATTACTTTCTGTCAGTCATCACTTTGGAAATGGAAAATCAATTACAGGACTGTTTCGAATGAAAAACTAGCTTACTGATTATCAGGGTTATTGTTATAACTAAAACTAAAAACACTATAAAAACATTTCCAATACTTGAAATAAAACAAACATTAACTGAAATAAAATATCCAGAGGAAACTGCTCGCTGCAGACAGGACATACCCTCCAGTGAGACTCCACGTGGCGTTCAAAACTGCTTTGCTCAAAGTGCGGCGGGAAGATCACCTCACACAGGGGACACCGCTTATGAACATCAGGTCTGAGCGGGGAAGAAAGAGAGACGGTTTTATTCTACAACTATGGTGGCAAGTGGGATGTGTTTGGAATGAATGATTGCTTATTGCTTACTGCGTACTACAACATAATATGCAGGACTGCTTACTGCCTACTACAAGTTTACAGTGGAAACTATGAGAGAGTAAACATTTTAAACAGCAGTATGCTATGTGTTAATCTCACTATTGTTTAGTCAGCAAGTGGTTGTCAGTTATCTCAGAAAAAAAAAGTCCTAACTTTTAGCAGTCAGATCCAACAAGACAATAAAATAAAGCAAAATAAAATATTACTTTCTGTCAGTCATCACTTTGGAAATGGAAAATCAATTACAGGACTGTTTCGAATGAAAAACTAGCTTACTGGTTATCAGGGTTATTGTTATAACTAAAACTAAAAACACTATAAAAACATTTCCAATACTTGAAATAAAACAAACATTAACTGAAATAAAATACAATAAAAATTAATAAATAAAATTTATTTCAGCTAGTTTCCAAGGTACCTTTTTTCATTTTCATTTAATTTAATTTGAAGTACTAAAGCTTAACTTAAATTACAAAATCTTTAGCGAACATTAAAATGAAAACAGAAAATATAAAGAGACAATTTCAAAAATATTAACAAAAAATGTAATAGTATATAAATGATACTAAAATAACTGCTGCTGCACACCATGCAGTATATACTGTACTGTAGTGTTTACAGTCTAATATTTAGAATAGTTTATAGCACACACTTTGTAATCATGAATCAACTGTAAACCTTTAGTATGCTTCATTGTCACATAACCTCACCAAACTGCAAATTACATCCAGTTATTACCTTGGAAATAAGTATTTACGGTAATATTTTATTTCATTTTTGGGTAAAGAAATGTTTTGGTATGTCTTCCAAAACGTTTGACATTCAGATCCAATAATGAGTCAAAAAACCCTAGAAAGATGTATAAAATCAAATAAAATGTAAAAGACATTTTACATTATTGCATCATTGGCCTTTTAAAATAAAGTCCTTATTTTATGAACACATTTTATAAAACAAAACAAAATAAAATAAAATGTGATATTACTTTTAGTCATTTGTCACTTTGGAAATTGAAAGTCAGGTCCAGAGCATTGCATTGTGGGATACAGTGTTTCACATAGTATGCAGCATACCACAGGTTTTGGTAAATATAGTACTTCTAAGCATTCAATGCATACTAACAGTGTACAGAATATGCAATGCAAACACAGTATGAGTAGTATAGTAGCATGTATTTCCTAACATTTACCTGGTGTCAAAGCAGAAGCTGGTATGGCTCTCGTTAGATTCCAGGCTCTGATGATCGCAGACTGCAGGGGCCTCACCATCACCTCCCTAAGAAAGACATAAAAACCAAAATGAAACACACACATCATTTCTTCTTGACTGAGACATAATACAATGTTCTTCAGCGGACACATTTAGCTGCCACCTCTCTATTGAGACATAACAGCTAAGATCTCACACAGACACACACACACACCCACACTTTCGACGAAAAGCCACGCCTGTCTGCACACAGCCGGCTTCCTGCAAAGGTTAATGGGCTTTAAACGCAGCAAACGAGAAAGGAGAAGAAAGGGGTCAGCGCCGATCTGCACCCTCAAATATCACAGGCCGGCACCCCCAGCCAATTAGCATAGCCCTCGTCAACATCTCTCTCTAACGAGCCTCTAGCCTCGTCACTCTAATCCGCTAACGAGCTCAAAAGAGAACAGCCTTAATTGCGGTTTCATGCAAATGAACCACCTCAGTATTCACCTATGAACTGAGGTCTGATGGTGCGGGGAATGCAGAGGGCAGTGAGGAAAAGAAGATGAAAAAAAGAGTGAATGAAAGAGTTTGAATCAAAGGGCGACAAGGTGGAAGTCAAGAGGAAAGGCTGAAAACGGAAAGAAAGGCTGAGAGAGAGGAAGAAGAAGTGAAGGTTGCTGAAGAGTGGCAAAAAGGCAATGCCACATACAGTATCAGTTTAAAGACTGACACAATAACACCCCGTTTGTTAGCTCTGACGTTTGCAAAAAGCTTCATCAAGACGTAAAATAAAGCTGACGAGTCTTATGAACTAGTTTTATGGGTTCCATTTTATATTAGGTGACTTTAACTATAATGTACTTACATCAAAAATAATTGTTTGCTGCGATGTACTAATTGTGTTCATGTTGTATTTTTAGATATAAGTACAATGTAAAAACATTGTATGTACACAATAAGTGCATTGTAAATATTAATTTTTAAGTACATAGTAGTTAAAGACACTTATTATAAAGTGGGAATTATTATATATTTTTTTAGGATTATTTTATGGTCCTTTTGCATCCTTTTTGAAAGAAAACAACAATTCTGTCTTCCTCATGTCATTACAAACCTGTATGACTTTCTTTTGAATAATGTGCTGGTCGCTCTTTTCCTTGCAATTATAATGAATGGTAACTCAAGTTTTCAAGCTTTAAAAAAAAAAAATGCAAATGTCCCATAAACGTATCACAAAAGTAATCCATATGACTCATGCACTTTAAGCCTGAAGCCTTTCCAATGTATGAGAAAACAAAACAATTGTGGGTAAGTAATTAATGACAGAATTTTTATTTTCAGTGAAGTAATCCTTTAAGCATTTATTGTTCAATCATCTTATATCACACTCCTTTTCACATTTGAAAAAAATGTGATACAACTGTAAAATCTTGCGAAACACAAAGATGATTAGACATCTCATTAAAGAGAAAGGAGTAATGTTTGTTTTTTATTCAGTATAAATCGTTTTTGTGAATCATTGTAATAATATTTGAATCATTTTCAAGATAATGCTAAATTATATCTAGTCTAACAGGGTTTTTCCAAACTGGGGTTTGCAAAACCCAGGGGGTTCATGAGTTGATGAAAAGCTAATAATTATTTAAATCATAAAAAATGTAATATTAAAATAAATAATTCTAAAATCAAAAATTAATAATTAAAAACAAAATTACAATAAAATTTGTATTAAATTAAAATAAATAATTTAAAAAGTCAAAATACTTACTAAAAAGATGAAATATTTTGTTTACCTACATGTCATGTGACCATTAACCAACCTCAGAGAACCATAAACATGCAAATGTGTTGTTAAATTATTGAAATGCAGTATAATATCAAGTAAAAACACATTTCTGCTTTGGTGTTGATGAAGATGAACATATCAGTTTTATCAATGGTGCTGTGACAAAAAAAGTTTGGAAATCACTATTCTAAAGCTGTAACATTGAAAGAACATCTGCTAAATGTCACTGTAACATCAGACAGGATGTGTTTTAACAATGTACTGCAGATAAGCAACAGCTTTAAAAATGACACTGTCCAGATTAAAATGCACTCTTCCAATACTACCCATCAAGCACTACTTATAGCAGTCTGAAGTTACATTAAAACAGACCATGTCTATTGTACATCATGTAGCTGCCAAAGGAAAACATACACCGTAGAAGTTGTTGTGGTGCTTTCAAAATGTTTCCACTGCTCTATCTATGTGTACAGTATGTGTCCTTACATTAGGCCTCTCTTCAGCGGGATTCTCCAGGCCATCAGGGGGGCTGAGACTGCGTGATGGCTGACTGCAGACCACAGGACCACCCCACGGCGGTGGAGCCAAAGGAGGGGGCCGGCAGGTCTGTTCTGGGGATAATGCCCCATCTGCTCCATCTAAGCAACAACAATTCAGGAGGTTCTGAATAGGGCTGTCACATTTCAGTAGTTAGATACCAATGTCACTGAAATGGTCTCGATAATCTACCAATTTCAACACAAAAGCAAAACAAATATACTACACTTATGAAATGCAATTAACTGTATATATGTAAATATTAAGCAGCAAAACTGTTTTCAGCATTGTTAATAAAGAAATGTTTCTTAAGCATCAAATCAGCATATTATAATGATTTCTGATCTTTAAAAAAACAAAAAAATCTTACTGGCCCCTAAATTTTAAATGGTTTTGTATGAAAAATGATTAATATTTATACATTATTCATAATTAAGTAAACACTTTCAAGTTTTTTTAAAGTAAATATTACTTACTTTAGTATAAA